ACGTTTCCCTTTTCTATATGATACACTGATCAAAAAAGTACGTGTTTGACACCATAAATTAGTGTGTTTACTCAGTGTCTTTTACTATTAATTCGATTTGATTCTAATTTTTAGGGCCATGATTAGATTCAAAATCAATTTTTCAATCAAAACGAATTGAGTCAGGATTTCTGCTTCAAACTATTGGTGTGCTCTGCAAGTTGGACTGACAAATGAAAACACTAAAGTGTAATTTTTACATTTAGTAAACTTTAAAGTGGGGTATTAGGTATTTTCCAGGCACATAGTAGTGCTGGGCGGTATGACCAAAATTTTATATCACGGTATTTTCAACATTTACACCGGTTTCACAGTATATCACGGTATTTTTCTTGTCATCACAGGTCAGCTGATAATAAAATGTACAAACACTGCTTATTAACTTTTCTCTATCTGTGTCTCTGTTTCCCTCTAAACYTCTTTTCTTCTCCTTTGGTCCGGTCATAAAGGAGGAGGGTTAAGAAAAGATAATTATCAGGTCTATTGTTTCATGTTATTTAATAAAAATTAACAGCACGACTCACCTTGCACACCAATCAACTCATTTCCACTACAAAARGTCTTCCCCARGGCTTTTCACAATAGAAGCACARTAAAGTCTCCATGCGTCTCCACGTCTCCATATTAACGTTGCGTGTTATATCTAAACGTACACGTCACTGAAGAGGTGTTTACTACATTCAGTGATGGTGAAAACGGGATGTTTTTTAACGTCAGTCAATATAAGTAGCGGAATCGCCACCCGTCGGTGCAACAAACTGCTCAATAACGTTATAATGCTAACACACATAGTGGTGCAGTGAGGAAAAGTGTCCCCCGGGAAACAGTTCACTGGCGGCCACGACGAAACGTTCCGCACGTGTTCAGGCTATTTAAACCGGTATGTTGGTATTCAGAAAATTCATATCATAACAAAAATAAAAAACTGTATTCAGTACGAACCAGTATACCGTCCAGCACTAGCACATAGTTTAACTCCATACCACAATCAAGTAACTGTTACCTTCCGTTGTTCTGAAAATGCTGTATATACACTGCCTGGCCAAAAACAAAAAGGTCACACACTCTAATATTTCATTGGACTGCCTTTAGCTTTGATTATGGCACACATTCACTGTGGGATTGTTTGGATGAGCTTCTGCAATGTCACAAGCTTTATTTCCGTCCAGTGTTGCAGTAATTTTTCACCAAGATCTCACAGTGGTGAGTGTAGAGTCTGACCGCTGCGCAAAACCTTCTCCAGCACATCCCAGAGACTCTCAATGGACTCCATTGTCATCTTGGAATATGGCCGTGCCACCAGGGAAGAAACAATTCATTGATGGAATAACCTGGTCCTTCAGGATACTCAGGTAGTCAGCTGACCTCATTCTGTGACCACAGACTGTTGCTGAACCTAGACCTGACCAACTGAAGCAACCCCACATCATAGCACCTAGTTAAATCCAACTGGCAACTCTTTTTTTTTTTTTTGGCCAGGCAGTGTATCAAAAATAAATTGGACTTTGCATTATGGCCTAAACACATTGAAAATGGCCTTGTCTCTCTAAAACCCTCCTACCATCTCTGACACTACCAATTTGAGTAAGTAAATTTTGTATAATCGTCCCCTTTAAACAATAATCCATGCTTGGATAGAATTGTTGCAACTGTTACATGAAAGTTTATTTATTTATTTATTTATTTATTTATTGGTGTTTTCGGTGCCTGAGTATGATTTAGAACCGTCTGTGAGGTCACGTCAGGCCGGGTTGACAGCCAAGTGAATTTATTTATTTATTTATTTTGTTTGTTTGTTTGTTTGTTTGTTTTCTGTCAATTCTGAATCATTGTAAATGAGAATTGCAATTTTTACGTGAATTGATTTTTTTTGCACCTCTAGTGTGCACCTTGTTGCTACTACAGAAGTGGAGCAACAAGCCACCAGTTGCCAACATTGCAGCTAAAATATTTTCATTTCATACTTTGTTGCCAGTTTCCTGCCTAATCTCTTTAAACTATTTTTGTCTCTGTTTCCCCACCCCTGTAAACTATTTTTTAAAGTGGAAACAGAAGTGGCCCACTGTCATTTCTGTTTTTACCCTTCTATTATTTCCTTTGCTGCTTTTCAAGTTTCCCCACGTGGCACAGGAGAACCTGAATGACTTTTTTTAATGCCCACACCCATTGTGGCTTGACTTGACAAATGAAATAGTATCTGCCCACAAACTTGCACTGCTGATGCTGCCAGGAACAACGCACAGCCTCCATATTTAGTCTAATGTGTTTCATCGTACTTAAAAAGTGGCTTTTTGGCCAGTTTCATAATGTCCAAAAACAACACACCTTTACTCGCTGAATGGAAGAGTCTTATTTTGCATGACTTGTGCATCTGTGTGTGTGCCTGTGTGTTTGAATGTGTCACACAAAAGCACAAATGTTGTGGGCGAACCTGCGGTTGCTGCTCTGCACAGGCTGTTTGTCTGCTATCACCCAGTCAGTCAGTCTGTCATTCAGTCACTTTTATGAATGTGTGTGGGTGGGGAGCTGGTGAACCAGTTTTGCCACCTGTGTGTGTGTGCTCGCGCGTGTGTGCTCCTAGCATTTGTGACTTTGTAAGGCCCATTTAAAAAAACAAACAAACAGAATACTAACTTGTGGGGACAAACTGCTCCTTAAGCCTAGGCCTCATAAATTCAAATGCTGTTAGTGGGTCAGGGTTAGGCTGCTGAAATGAATGGAGGTCAATGCAAAGTCCCTGTGAAGATAGAAAGATGCACCATGTGTATGTGTGTGTGGAGCTGTGAATGTGTGTATGTGAGCACTAGATCCTGGGACTGTCTAAGCTAATTATATAACCAATATCTCTTTTAATGTCTCTCTGCATCCCTCTCCCACTCTCTCACACATACACACACACACACACGCACACAGAGCATCAATAGAATATAAAAAGGCACATCCTGTTATTGTCACGTCGTTCATGAGGTTTGTGACCGTGAGCATTGTGTCCCTGTGAGGGTGGTGGCTGTCGTGCTAATGCTGGAGAATGCTTCATATTTTTTTGGCCACTCGGCCTCCAAGTCTCCTTTTTGTTCTCGTCGGGCTTTGTTTTGTGCTGCCATGACTAACTGGACCTAAACGAGCATTTATCTTATCTGATGGCGTCCCCGCTGCACTGTTGTCCCAAAAAGAGTTTACAAAAAGAGTTGCTTTACTTGTTATAAAACGAGACTGTATTGTGAACAAATACCAGCATGTTTTTATTTGCATGTAGTAATTTGGCTCGAGCTGCAATTCCTGTTGTAGATGGCTTTTTGAACTGCATCAGTTTGGAGAAACAGTTTTATTTGAACCAGATTGATGAGCTAATGGCTACTCTGAGCAGACCTAAGGCTAAAATAGAGTGCTGCCATTTTATAGAAGTTAATGCAAACTCTATTTATAAATCCCTATCACATTTACATTACACAAAACCACAAATAGCAGCACTTTTGATGCATTCTAGAGGATTTTCTGCAGGAATAACATAATATTTCTAACAGATTAACTGTTTAGTATGAAATATTGCATGATAAGCATTATAAGTTAGCTTTTGAGCAAAGTGCTATGAAACTTTTGAGATTGGAGTTGCTTTAAGACGATCCGGTTTGGTCTTGGCCTCTCTCAGACTAGCCATTAGCTTGTCGGTTTGGTCTGAAATATATTTCTCCAAAAAAAACCCCATCTAGAACAAGTGAGATATTGTTTTTGAAAACCTATCAGCAGAACCCCACTATTAAAACCTGACCTATCTACTTACCAGGGATGCATTAATTATAGTTTTTAGGCTTTAAGACTTTCTAATATTGGAAATGTAAAAATAAAGGGCTATAAGTTTCAGATGTATTTGCGCAAATAAAAACCATATGAAAAGAAATTACAGTTTAGTTTTTTTTTCAAAAATCACAATATGGGTTCCATGCCTTTTTTATTTTTTCACAGCTCAAAAAATGTAAATATGCACCAGATATCAAGATAAACATGTTTCTAACAATAATAAAATACCTGACAGTTGACTAAAACTGAAAAAGCAGGTTAAAAATAAAAAAGGGTGTTGTTTCTATTGCTCCAAGTTTATTAAATGATATTTAAACTTAGGAATGTATATGATCAAGTAAAGTTTACAGTCAGCATGTTTTTTGTAACTAATTGTAAATTAGAAAATTTGTACACACTTTAAGAATCAAATAGAACAGTGTGAAATAGTTTTATTTGCAAATATATAATAAAATTTATGTTTAAAAAAAATCTGTTTTACAAGTTTTATAAATAAAACACATTACACATTGGGACATCGTGCTATTTTCTTGTGTCAAAATTAGTGTTTTAGAAAAATGCTCCATTTAAAAAAGTCTGTGTTTTGCATTACTTGTATTTTATTGTGCTTCAGAATACATCTGCTGTAATAAATAGATTCATATTTTATTAGTATTTTCTTTTTTCTAATCTCACTTGTAGTGAAATTGTAAGCGACTCGAGGATAAGATTATTTTTTCGTGGCTCAGAAGASGTCCCTTTAAGTTTCGTTTGCTGTTGTTCCAAAAGCAGTTAAATTATCTGCTGACTGTTGCATCAAAAGCTTTCTAGCTTTAACTTTAATGCTCAACATAAACATGTTGGCAAATTCTGATAGCAACGGATGTATAAAAAAAGGGGTAGTAGCAATCAGAGAAACACACATTTCTGGTCATATCGTACAAATAAGAACATTGTGAACTCTCCCAGCAGGAGTTTAGCATTGAGCCACGTTTCCATTAAAGCTGGACGCTGTGGGTGTGTTTTCATGTTGACTTGTCCTGGTGCAACACCTCCCACTGCAGCGCAGCGAGGAAACGGGCAAAGTCGTGACTTGCGACGCCCTCAGACAGTCTGCCGGGSTGCGAATCCAGCGCTATAATAAACTTTCTGTGGCATTAAGTGAAGTTTGACTTTACACCAGAATGATTTTGAACAAGTCGGAGCCAGAATAAAATAGAAATGTATGATTTGCTTTTGTGTTAGAWAAACAGCTTTTTGAGTTAAGCTTATCTACACTAAAGGAAAAAAACAGATCTGCACAAAAGCAGCCCTGAAGTTCTCATTTTATTAATTCTTCCAGTGACAGCTACATCGTGCGTGTGAAAGCGGTGGTGATGACGCGGGACGACTCGAGCGGCGGCTGGCTGGCTCAGGACGGGGGAGCCCTGAGCAGGGTGGGGGTGTGCCGCCTCCTTCCGACAGACCTTTCCCCTGTTTCYGGCTCTGGCAAGTCCCACTTCCTCATCCGAGGGGAGCGCCTGCTTGACAAACAGGTAAAAAAAATTTTTAAATCAGGTACAACAAATGACTGACTCTGTCCACACCATGTGGTGTAATGATTCAGGAAATGACTTCCTGTTCTGATCTGGCCCCAGGTGATTCTGGACTGTCCTCTGAGAAAAGACCTGGTCTACACCATTGCAATGCCAACATTTCACCACTGGAAGGTGGAGGACAGGAGGTGTGGCCTGTCCTTCCAGAGTCCAGCTGACGCTAGAGCTTTCGACAGGGGAGTACGGAAAGCCATAGAGGACTTGGCTGAAGGTACGATGAGCTGCAAGAGTTAACCATCCTGATAAAACCTAGATAGGCTTGGTCCTGACTAAATCAATAAATATGCCTTTCAAAGTGAGGATGAAACTTGTCAAAATGACATAAGGATAAGAGAACTCAAAACTATGACTGGTACGTTTAACTAGCTGTTGCAGAGCATGAAGCACAACACAGTCTTCAGATAAGACTAATCCACTCTGGGGATGGCATGAGTAGAAGCAGAGTAAGTGGAGGAATATGCATCTGAAGATAAATAAAATTCCAATAAGTGACAGTTTGGGGAACTTTGAATTCAAAAGCAGAAAGACCAGAAAATTATCGAACCCTGTTTCAGGTACAACTTAAAAAAAACAACTGTGAAACGGAAGAAAGGAGTTCGATGTTCAGTCATGATTGAGAGAAGCACGTTTTGCAATATTTTTCTTCTCTCCACAGGCTCCACGACCTCCTCCACAGCKCTCCAGAACGAGAGCGAACTGGGTGATGATGACGTCTTCACCGTAAGCATTTATATTTCAGTAACAATCCGTCTTTGACCTATGCTTTACACTTCCTCCCTATTTATTTAAATCATTCTAACTGTCCAGGTCAAATATCAGGGCTTCCCAGTTAGAAAACTTGGTGAAGGCAAATCTAATGAAAGTGCACAAACTGGTGTTTTTAGTGCCGTTATGTTTGTAAGAGGGGGTCAAAGTTGGTGCATCTGTGCACTCGCAGCAGAGGAAGTAACTGAGCCAAGTGGCAGAGCATGTGCCGCTGTTTTCATTGTGTAACAACGGCATGCTCTTTGTAAGTGCACGATATGGTGCAATCTCTTAGAATCAGTTTGCATTACGCAGTCCAAGTTTTAGATCCGCTCATTATGTCGGATTCGTTTGGGGCTTTTATAGATTTTTTTGAATCCTTCTTTTCCCAGGGTGGAACYATTAAACAATGTGTTCAGTGAATTTCTTTTAACAAGAGTGTGGTGCACACGTTTGAATTTATTGTGGACACACATCAAAACTATGTATACATACTGGTGCAGAGACACACAGACCCCCCTGTACACTAATATTTGATTAAATGTTCCTTAGCAAATTGCACCTTGACCACGTTTGTATCCCTCAARGAGCTTCTGTCACAGTTCTGGTTTGATATTTGTCCGCTCTTGTTTGCAYAGTTTGTGGCATTTATCTAAATTGGCTGGTTTTCTGGCACAAACCTGGCTTAAAACATAGTCCACACATTGGCAAAGCTGAAGTTGAAGAATTTGAAGCTAGCCCTTCATCTTTATTAGTCCATGCACTTTGTGCAGTGCACCCTTACCACATTATGATGCTAGCACCACTATGCTTGACAGTTGGTAGACCGTTCTTAGGCTTGAAAACGTCACCTTGACTCCTTCAAACTTATTCCCTTTCATTGAAGCCAAATAGCTCACACTTTGTCTCGCCTGACCGTAAAATATTTCTACAAAAGGAATTTGGCTTGTTGATGTGGGCAGCTGCAAGTTTCGGTGGAGCAGGAAGCTCTTTCTAGGTTATGCACCTCTATGGTTCATGACAACGTAAAACTGGAGAGTGATGCTGGTGTTTGAGGAAAACTGTAGTTTGTTCTGTGTGGAAAAAAAGGACACTGTATCTCATTTCCATAAATGAAATATGTAAATTTGTAACATTTTAAACAGATGTTTACAGTACAGTGAAGTAAAGAGTTTGGTTATTATTTCACGGAGTAAATGGAAAAACATAGTAGTGTTGCCTTTTTGTATGAGTGGCACATCACTTCTCATGTTTATCCTTGAAACAAGTAAAGTAATCCCTACGATGATATCTATCTTTCCAGAGAGTCTGAAAAGAGTTATAAACCATTGCGATGCTGTGGCCTCTGATAAGCCTTTCAACACAGTCACACTGAGCTTCCTAAACCAAATTTCATTTCCATTTGGTACTTTAAACAAAAAACTCTTCCGACTTATCCGTCAAGTTTGGTTTGTATGTTTTTGTTCTTGGTCTGAGTGACTGCTGTGGAGTTCCAGCGTAGGGTTGAGCATTATTTATCTTTTTTATACCGACATTTTATCTTCAGGTAATATCACAGTAATGGGCAGGGCGTGTAGGGTGTATGGTCTGTGACATGCTGAGTTACTTTCTCCCAGTCTCGCTGTCTCTCTGTTGCRGCCAAACTTCATTCAACTTTAGCGTCTTTTTTATTTTCCTCTTCCTGTAGATTGTTTTGGCACTTGTCAAARAACTTTGAGTCTCGGCCAAAAAGAAGGTCGGMGGGTTTGTATTCTTTCGGCTCAAGAGAAGGATGAGACTTATGGTTGAGCTAATTTTTTTACCATGAAACCTGCTGCCTGTTGCTGCAATGCTTCTCAAATTGAACAACTATGTMGAGAAAAAAAAAGTGGTGTATATATTATTTAACATAACTCCAGTTGTATTTGGTCAATCAACAAAAAATAAATATTGGTGTATATTTCGAAGTCTCTTTTGATACAAATTCATACAGTCTCAGAGAAGATGTATTTTTCCAGCTAGATCAATTTAAATACAGAGATATACTACAATACAGTCATTCCGCCCAAGCCTATTCCAGCCTTTTAGACAAAATCATTTTATGTTGACTAATGACAGAGTTGTAGAGGTATTGGTCAAACACCAAAATAACATTATACATAATCTCAAAAGACATTGCAGATCTCGCAAGGTGTGTGTGTGTTAGTGTTCGGAGTGTGTGTTGCAAATTAATTTTTTATCTCAGTCTCTTTTGATATGACTGAATTGTAGCCATTTTTGTTTTTGRTAAGASTGATTAGCTGTGGTGGTCATCTTGAACTAAGCTGTTAATGGGTTGTAAATGTGCATGCAYTGATTACTTTTTCAGAGTTTTATTAAATTAAGGCATTGATAACATTTAAGTAAAGATGTGCCATGGGTAGCACTAGGCGTATGTGTTATGAGGCACTCTAAGGTAGTAGCACACCAATTTTGATGTCAACATTTGTAAAACAAAACATTTTTGGTTGGTTTACATTGATTAGCTGCAGCAACCATCTTAAATTAGGGTGACCTAAAAGTTTATTCAGTTGTAGATGACGAGACATTTTGCTAACAAAACAAACAGACACGGACGATAGTCACAAGATCTTATCGTGGAACATGAAGTAATGAACACATTTTCTTCTGCAGTAAATAACTATTCTGAACATTATCTTATCTACTCAGAACTCTGTAATCTAAGTTTTTTTTTCTTCATGTAAACCTGCCACAGTACATGAAGTGTGTTTGTAGTTTGTGTATCAGGGCCTCTTTAAGTTAGCATGAAGAACCCCCCTCCTCCTCCTTTAGCACTGTAATCTGACACCAGGGCCAGCAGGCAGGGTCAGAAGGTCACTTCCTGTATCCCACCAGCTCCCTCCCTCCCTCCAACCCTCCCTGCCACACACACACACACACACACACACACACACACACACACACACACACACACACACCCGCCCAGCCACCGAACTAGCAGCTGTTTCCCAGCTTAGTGCAGGGCGGTGATTTACGAGAGGAAGTGCCTCGTGGTTCATCTTTGACTCGAGCTGTCTGTTAGGGCCAAGACTAATAGGTGCTCTGCTGGGAGTGTACAGCCACCGCAGAGACGCACACAAACACACGAGGAAGGAGTGGAGCGGTGAGGCGCTGGCGGGGGAGCAGAGCGGAGTGGAGGGGAAGTGGTGGGAGACGAGTCCAGGAACATCAAGGCTTTTTGGTGGAACAAATCCAAAGCAGGCTCTGGGCTTTTTGTCGCTCGAAAAACTGCACAATTTCTAGACCTGTCCCATTCAGTTTTACTGCYTATAACTAACATACAGTATCTCAGAAATATGTGATCTTCCAGTTTTTGCTTTCATTTAGTAAGAGTTGCTTTTATGGAATGGGATCTTTAGGTTTTATATTGTTTGTTAACAAGGTTGCCSTTTGTCACCGATTCTGTTCATTACTTTCATGGACAGAATTTCTAGGCGCAGCCGAGGTGTTGAGGGGATCTTTTTGGTGATCTTAGGATCGCATCTCTGCTTTTTGCGGATGATGTTGTCCTATTGGCTTCATCAGATCATGATCTCCAGCTCTCACTGGAGCTGTTCACAGCTGAGTGTGAAGCGGCCGGGATGAGGATCAGTGCTTCCAAATCCGAGACCATGGTCTTGAGCTGGAAAAGGGTAGGGAGCCTTCTCCAGGTCGCGGAGGAGGTCCTGCCCCAAGTGGAGGAGTTTTAAGTATCTCGGGGTCTTGTTCACGAATGAGTGAATAATGGAGCGGGAGATCGACAGGCGGATTGGRGCTGCGTCTGCTGTAAAGCGGGTGCTGTATCGGTCTGTCGTGGTGAAGCGAGAGCTGAGCCAGAGGGCAAAGCTCTCGATTTACCGGTCAGTCTACTTTCCTACCCTCATCTATGGTCACGAGCTTTGGGTAGTGACCGAAAGACGAGATCGCGGATACAAGCGGCCAAAATGAGTTTCCTCCGCAGGGTGTCTGGGCTCTCCTTTAGAGATAGGGTGAGAAGCTCAATCATCCAGGAGGGACTCAGAGTGGAGCCGCTGCTCCTCCACGTCGAGAGGAACCAATTGAGGTGGCTCTGGCAGCTGGTTAGGATGCCTCCTGGAGACGTCCCTGGTGAGATGTTCTGGGCACGTCCCACTGGGAGGAGACCCAGAGGAAGACCCAGGACACGCTGGAGGGACTATGTTTCTCAGCTGGCCTGGGAACACCTTGGGATTTCCCCAGAGGAGCTGGCCCAAGTGGCTGGGGAGAGGGAAGTCTGGGTCTCTCTGCTTAGGCTGCTGCCCCTGGATAAGCGGAAGAAAACGGATGGCTGGACGGATTGTTTGTTAACAGTAGGAAATATGTAGACTGTTTAAAAAAAACTAATGTGGAATTTAAAGGTTTTCTCAGGTCTGTGAATATGGCTTTCTTTGTTTTTTATGTTTCCCTTCTTCAACTAAAACTTTTTAAATTAATGGGTTATTATCAGTTCTTTATGAAACTTGACAACAAACCAAAGAGCTGTTTGAGTCAGATGATATGGAGCAGGAACACGTTGAAAATATTTAGGAATGAATAARGTTTCGTGGGTGCTCAGATTAAGACATTCTGATCCTCCTGTACCGGCAAGGGTTTCCCTACAACCAACAGATGAACGGGACTTGCCTATTTAAATAACGGTAAATAATGAATGGGGCTGGTTGTGATCTGTCAGGTTGCAGGCATCAGTTTTTCTTCCTGTTAGTTTGTGCTAACCACGTCCTTTCCAAAGGTTAGTGGCAGAGTTCGTGAAGAGAACAGTTGTAGACGGGTGGAAATGCTGCTGCAAATTTACTGCCATTTAAGGGATATGAGGAGGATGATTGGAGGTGTGTGTATGCCTCGAAATTATTCCTCATTCAACAAACCTAAACTTAACCAGAGCTCCCCCCCCACCCCCCCKCCCCTCTGTTCAGCATGTCTCATCTCTCGCTATTTTGGCTCATTCACAACAGGAGGGGAAGAGGGGGGAGCAAAAACTACTGGAGCAATTCTGGGCTGATCCCAGGAGWGTGAGAGGGACTTGCTGAAGGATGAATCGTCTCGAGCTTTGAGCTGGGGCATGTTTTGTGTCAGAAATAACTTGAAAAGCCCCTCTGTCCAGCCTCGGATTAGAATATATAGCAAGAGGATGTCCAGGAAATATATAAATGTGCCCCCCCACCCCCCTTTCTTTGTCCTCTTGTGCAGTTTGGGCTTGTAGCTGAAAAAGTCTGGTCTGTGTTTGGAATTAGTTGCAGCCAAGGAGGCCAGGATTGGACTGTTTTTACACTGTATTAGTGCCCCCCCCACACACACACACATACAGAGCCCATACCCCTCCTCTGTAATGGCTTCTCGGGGGGGCAGAAGCAGCATGTTGTGTTATTTTTGGCCGGCTGCTCTGAGGGGCTTTGTAAAAAAGCTGGGGGAAATTCTCAGCATGGCAATACAATATCCATGTAGGGGACAGGATATAATAGGGATGGCTTCAGCAGACAGACAGACAGACAGACAGACATCAGGTCTGGGTCATATAACTCTGATAACTTCACGGAGCTGTTCTTAGTAACCAAACAAGTGTTTTGCATTATAGATTTTATAAAGTTTGATGATACGTTTGTGACAAATCCTGGGAATGTGCGTGATTTAAAAATTAATCACACCGACAGTCAGTTCAGTGCGCCTACACATTTGCTTTTTGCAGACGCGTTTATGTGGAGGTCTGATTTARATGGCCGTCAGAATGAAGCAGACAATGTGTTTGAAAATGATAAGTGGTCAATAGAAATGTATTTGTGTCTGTTACTGGCTTTGTCTGCTACTTTTGATTTGAGAACGTGAATAGAACTTCTTATTGAAGTTCTTATTGAAGTATTGAAGTTACTTCTTATCTAACAACTCCAAATTGGATTAAATGCAAGTTTTTCCAAAGATAGGCCRACAGATATGTCATTTCACCTTTTTTTTTCCTGCAATAAAAGGGTGTCCTGTGACTTTGACTCACCCTGTATTATAACTAGAGACACAACTGGAAGCTAGAAGTTGAAGCCACATCTTTTGTAATGTTGCTGATTTTGGGAAAGCGTGCTAATAATTTGTTGGGTTAGTTTCTCAGACATCTGCATCACAGTTGTAAATGTGCAAACAGGAAATTACTGAGCAAAGAAAATAAAACTAAATGACAGTTTTAGTTTTATGGATTGTTAAACAGTTTTTAAACTAAATATGTTTGTGACATGTTAGCATGCTAAACTTATTGCCAAACTGCTTGTGATATCAATTTTTTTGCAATAAATATGAATGCATTTTTAGAAATATAAAAGTTATCACAAATTGAAAAAAAAGGTTTCCAAGTTTTTCACGCTGCTGAGATGAACACTTGTTCAGATAATTGCATATCAAGTAACAGGAAGTGACAAAAGAGTAATGGCAGCATGTAGACAGACTGTTGCTACAATAACAACACAGATAGTAGAGAAGAAGCTGATGTTTCTTTAGATCATTCTGAGTCGCTATCAGACAAATGAAGACGAGTCAGAGTTCAAATAATATTGTTTCAATAAAAAAAGACCAGAGAGTTTCTTTTCCGAAAGCGTTCCCCTTTCATGTCACTTCCTGTTTCACTTTGATTGAGCCAAGTTCAAAAGAAAATTACAGTTATTTGACAATAATGGTAAAATTATGTGTTTTCTGCCAAGTTTCTTAAATATAAATATGTTTTATTTGACTTTTTGTATTTGAAGGATATGCACGTCACAGACACTTTAAAGCCCTTCACAGTGCAACTAGATCAGAGGAACCCAAAGTGGGGCCCGCGGGCCAAATTTGGCCCACCAAGCCATTTGATTCGGCCCACCAACAGTTGCCAAAGTTAAAAGGTTGTAACCTGTTCTACTATGTAGAAACACAGTATTTCCATTGGTCAAATGACTATATAAAAGGGCTGTAGTGAAGGTAGTTTTCATTCATGCTGTTGACTTTAGCTTTGATTTATTAGGATTAAACATGAAACATGAAACAACAACAATAAATATTTAGATCAGATTTAACCCCACGTGTAGATTTGCACACTTRYTAAGGCCACAAAAACTCATATTTTATCAATTTATAAAATGTCCCATGAGCCTTTGCTACTTGAGAGTATGGCAGACTTTATCCAAGCGTACAGACTTAAACAAAAGAGGGCCATTGCATTGCATAYTCACTAAAAATAAAGGACTTTACTTAAAAAGTATTTGTATGTCATGTATTATATTACTGCATTTGGCCCACAGCCCTGGATAGATTTTCATTTTGGCCCTCTCAGGGAAAATGTTTGGGCACCCCTGAACTAGATAGTCTGTATTTGTGTTTGYTTTCCTTTTAGTAAACAAGCTAATGTAAAAAATTATTAACTAATGCTACACATCAATTTCCAGTCACTCTTTGCTCCATTTCACTGGACCAAACACATCTTGAAGCAGTCCTCTTTCACACATATACCCAAAATGACACGATGAGACAGGAGAGGTCCCGACCTGTCCATCAATAGTCCCCTCAGTGTACCCCCCCAGTGTGCCTGTCTGGAATCTATCTGTCTGAGCGATACATGGCAACAGCCCGTTGTGTCCGGCCAAAAATTCGAGTTAGAAGAGGAGCCTTGACAGGCTTTAGCGGAAATGGAACATGATACTGTTCACACATATGCATGTAAACACGCGTGGAGTGGTGTTTGAAACGGTGGAATGTGGAGAAGCTGCGATTGAGGGAAGGAGGACAGGTTGGTGTCAGGGAAAAGAGTGAAGAGGAGGGGAAGCAGAGTGAAAGAAGAGGAGGCCAGAAAAGGTGATTCTTTGGTTACTGTGTGCAAAGGACTGGAGCCTTGATATCAACTTCCAATGTATACTTTATCTGAAGCCTGCACCCTTTTAAAATACAGGACGTTTAAGAATTTGTTGCTGTAATAAAAATCCCAGGTGAATGGATTATTTTGTTGTTAAAAAGGCTGTTGTTTGACTTTTYTGGTGCTTCTTTTATTTTGTCCACCTTGTTATTATCAACTAAGGGATTCTAAAGATAATTCTTAGTAGATGTCCATGCACATATGCTTTAAGGTGTGTTTCTGACACCTTATGGTAAATGTTGTTGCTGAAAGTTTACTTCACATGCACAAACCRAAACATAGATCCGGCGACTTTAAAAACAGCTCACACACATCCTGTTTTTCCAATCAGCCAAGCGCCGGCGTTTCCTGTTTTTGTTTGTCCAATCACGGTGAGCACTCGCGCCAGCTACTTGTTTGACCTATCCAATCTAAAAAAAAAAAGGCACCTCCTCAGCTCACATCCTGTGTTTGTTTGTGCCCCCTTCAGAACGCCACAGACAGCTCCTCCAACTCCTCTCAGAAGCTGGACAGCTCCCTGCAGCCGCTCGAGTCCTCGCCCCTTCCGCAGAGACACAAGTGCTTGCCAGGACATCATCACGACCTGCACGACTCCTTCCAGATCCCCGACCACTACTACTTGGACCAGGTGAAGCTGAGATAAGCCTTTCTGCTTGCATTGTGACGCAATGCCAAAAAGAGGTTTTGAACAGAAATATAGGCCATAGATTGGTATGGTACAAAATATTGATGGACTAATAAATCATCTCACTTAGCTGCAACTGTTGGCAACAAATTGTAAAGGGCATTCCTTGAGCTCAACACCTGTGTTAGCCTTTGACAGGTGTAGCACCCCAGTGAAACACCCTCGCCCGCTCCTGTCCCTGGTGCATGTCATGCTGGCACAAGTGCTTGATGCCACTATGGCTTATACACAAGTAGAAAAAAAAATCCTAAAAATAGTGGCACTTTCCCATGGCTGATTGAGCAATAACGGGTTTATCATCAGATCAGATCAGATCATCAGACTAATTATGAACCGACACTTTATTAATTATTTCCCAACTGCTGCAATTGGTGCATAAGTACGTAGCACAGATTCTCAGTGAAGGAGTATTGAAGCACAACAAGCCCTACTTGTGTTCTCAGGCAAACATATTCATTATTTTCAGAGCTTCATGCGTGATTCGTATAGAAATGCTTTAGAAAATTTATTTTGTCTTAAAAATGACAATCAGCATTCAAATGAAAACATTTGGGGGCAACAGCCCTTCTATAATTTTTAGGAACAGGTCCAAATCTGCCTGTTCTCGTGTCTGAAGTTCACTCTAGTGGTTGAAGTTGTGATCATGGTAGGTAAGCTGTGGGTGGGTACAAAGTGGGCTTATGGGAGTATGATGTGCATGGATGAAGGGCAATGAAAAGATGTGCACGGCCTGAAATTTAGTTTTGCAAACTGAAGACAAGAATAGGTTATGGTTATCAGAAACGGTGGAAAACACAATTGCGCAGGTCGCACAATTCCCAGTTTAGAATGCAATCAAAAATTCACTGAGACTGGGACTGAAACTTTGCCTGTTTTCTTGCTATTTGACACTCCCCTTCACAACTGTCTCAGTTATAGGAAATACTGCTTTAGGGTCTGCAGATTGGGTATATTGTGAAAATACTATTTTGAACCATTCGATGGAAATCGTATATTGTGATAATACTGTATGATTCCCACCTGTAGTTATGATCACAGTTAAAGTTTGTTGTCATTTATTGCTTTTAGTGTTTCGTCATATAAGCAATGCAATCGTCTTGAAATGAAGTTTTTCTCTCTTTAGCCATTTTCCCGGATTCCTCGCCGCGTCACCTTCGAGGATGAGGAGATAGTTCGGATCAACCCCCGGGAGCGCAGCTGGGAGCGGAGCACGGAGCGGAGCACGGAMCGCCACCTGGGGCGCCAGTCGGACCGCCACTGGCACACGGGGTACGAGGACTACCGACACGCGACGGTGTGCGACAGGTTCATCCACACGGACGACCCCGAGTCCTACGTCCACTTTGACAAGACGGATGCCCAGAAACACGACTACACCTACCCGCTGGCCCCGGCCCTGTCGCCATCAGACTCTGACCCTGCTCTCGGACCCCTAACCAGTAAGGGCCACTGCGGCTCCTATCATCCGGGCTTCTCCTCGGCGGTCTCTGCCCAGCCTCGCTCCTTTTTCTCGGGCTCGTCGTCGTCCAGCAGCAGGAAGGGGCGGAAGGACAAGGGGATGGAGCGCGCTCAGTGCGAGCACTGCGGCGAGGCCTTCTACCTCTTCGAGAACCGGAGAGGCCTGTGCCAGGACGCGCCGGACCCCGTGCGCGCCTGCATCCATCGGGTCAGCTGCATGTGGCTGGCAGACACCATGCTCTACCACTGCATGTCCGACCCGGAGGGGGACTACTCGGACCCCTGCTCCTGCGACGGCGAGGGCGGAGGGGGCCGCCTCGGCACTCGCTGGTTGGCGCTGCTCGGCTTGTCCGTGGTGGCGCCCTGCCTCTGCCTCTACCCACCGCTCCACGCGTGCCACCGGGCGGGGCTCGCGTGCGGCTGCTGCGGGGGCCGACACAAGGCCCTGAGCTGAGAAGCCGGACCGGGAACTCTCTCGCAGGAGACTATGAAAAACCTAAACTCAACGCAAGCACAGGGAAAGGGAAGGATGGGGAGACACACACAGGGGTCTCTCGCCTTGGATTTTCTTTTATTTTTTTTTAGGGGGGAGGTTTCTCTACAATTTCCAGACACTGAAATAAGCCAAATAAGAAGAAAAAAAAACTTGGTGCATTTTCTGAACAGCCTGGGAAGATAAGCTCCCCCTCATGGCAGACAGTTCTCTCAGCTCTCCACGTGGCCATTTCATGCTCTATTTCTAATGAGAGAGCAGATTTTTTTTTTTCAGGGGGCCTTTTTTTTATAGTCAGCCTATACGTCATGTATCACTTATGCAGGTACTTTATATTGTTGTATTTGTACATCGACTCGGCGTCAAAGAACTTGAATTGTTTCTTTGTTGTATTTTATTTTCTCTTCCATGTTTCTGTGGCCATTTTGTTTAATTTTCTATTCCGATATCAGGCCTGCTCAGTTAAGCTCCAGCTACAACAGAAATCAGACACTACACCTCTTTGTGTGTGTATGTGTGTGTGTGCGTGTGTGTGGTTACAGTGTGTGCTGAGGCCCTTTTTGTTGTCTGTACTGCAGCTTGTAGTCAAAACTCATGTACATATTCTTCATAGTTCTCCATCAACTTTTTTTTTTTGGTCACCCAAAACAAAACGTGGTACTCATCTTAATCGTCATCTAAAATCCCAAAGATTTGTATTTTTCTTCTATTTATTTATTTTTTTAACTGAATTGATCGACCAGAAAAAAAAATTATGGTGCTGGGTTGTAATTCAGTCCCTGAATTAGATATTATTTTAAGTCCTGCTACGATAATCGAGCATCTCCCGTCTCCCTGCTCCTTTTCGCATTACTTCCAAACAGTGCCTAGAAACCACCTTTACCGGGAACCCACGAAGTCTTACGCTTCCTGACCAGTTTTATTTATCCTTTTGGCTCCTTTTCCTTGGCCAGCACTTGAAGCAGTTCAAGATTTTAAGGCCCTGATTCCTCTCATTCTTGCAGAACCTCAGTCAGCAGTCCATCCTTTCACATCCAGGACTGAACAAAAAAACCAATCAGACACCGTTTAAAACAGGTGTCGCTCTGCCTTAAACATGTGGCGTCTCACTCCAGACTTCCCCCGTCACTCTCTGAACGTCTGCTTTAATGAAAATTTAGGAGTGTCTTTTTACGGCTCCAGTCGCATGCTGCTGGATTCAACTTGATTTGAATTATTTTTGTAACAAAAAAGTACATTTAAAAAGAAAGTTCTCTTAAAATATCGAAGCTATAGACTCCGATTTTGTCTGCGACGTACAATCACCCCGCCCCCCCTGCTTTAAAGAAATGTCAACACATTGAGGTTTATTCAGAGAAATATAAGCTTCATTTGATTGTTTTAAAAATCACCCTGAATGGGGCTTATTATACTGTTTTTTTTTTTTTTTTTTTTTTTTTTTTTGTTTGTTTATTGCTAAAACCATGATTAGGACTAATTTGGGACAAGTTTTATACCAGTTTTACAATCAGTTGAGTTGTATTTATTAAAGATGAGCCTAACCTCTTGAATGTGTTATGAGAATAATTTGACATTTTAGGAAACAGAATGTTGCGAAACGAGCCAAACACTTAAAATGTGACATAAGAGCAGAAGTGTACAAAGTACTTAAAAATAACTAAGTAAAAGTAAAAAAAAAATACCTAAACAGAAAATGACTGTGGTAAAAATGAATTTCACTGACAAGAAAAGTACGTACTGAAGAGTCATAAAACTGTTCACAATAACTGGAAAAGTAAAAGTACTTTTACACACAGTAAAAGTATCATTTTTATATTTTGAATGTAACAAACTGAAAGTAAAAGTTACAATTTAAAAAAATGATTGGTAAAATTACAGCTTCTCAAAAACATTACTGTCACAAAGTAAATGTACTTTGCTACTCTACACCTTTGCGTAAGAGACAGCTGGTTTGCAAATTTTGGAAACTGCTCGCTCTATTTAGCAATACCATAATTCTTGTATTTGAGGCTTTAAAACCTATAGGAATCATGTGTTGTTAGTTAAATAATTAAGTCCTCGTAAAAGGCAAAGACAGAGTCGCTGTCAGAAGTCTCTTCAGGTTTAAAAAAAAACATTTCAAAGAGGTTCATAAAGAAAGATGTGCTTTGTTATTTAACATTAAATAGAATCAAGCTGGCTGCTTTCATTTATTAACGATCACAAAAAAAATCTTCCTTTTGAGGCCTTGTATGTGTTGCTGAAAAAGGGGAGACGAACATGAGAAACAACTCACTGAAACCACATGTGACCGGCGTGTGCTATTCATCTCAAGCCTACAGCGAAGTTTGGGTTTTTTTTTCCTCGTCCTTGCCAGATTTGGTGCATTATCAGAAGCACAAAGAAGGAAAGTCAGATGGATGACAAAAAGAGCTTGGCTGCATTAAGAAAGACTTAGTTAAAAGTTTGGGGGTCCGCGGTGGTTAGGGTTACAAACTCAGGCTGTCCCCCACCAGCTGCTTTGGTGCTCCCAGGGCCGACCCATGGATTGATTGATTGATTGATTGATTGATTGATTGATTGATTGATTGATTGATTGATTGATTGACATAGTATTGTAAGAATATTCGTGTTCAAAGACTGAAGTCAGTAGAAAACCACCAATGTTAAATAATATGATTGTTGGACGAGATAAAACCATACAAGACCATACAAAACCAGAATTCTGGGAGTGAGGATTTAATGCCATTCGGATCTGACAGGAAACCACACACTGCCGAAAAACCAGGAAGTTGATCCATTTATAGGCTGTGTCCAAAACGACAGGCCGGGTCCTCTGGAGGACCCAGACTACCCGGTCTCGGCGGGCCGGGTCCTTGGTAGACCGGGAAGACCAGAAAAAAAGAGGCTGTGAATTTGGACGGTCTAGCCTCCCCTCCTTACCCCGGCGTACGTCATGTCACCTAGCAACTGTGACGACGCTAAACAAGCAAACTTAAATCAAAACTAGAAAAATATCAATACATTAGCATTATTAATATCACAAAACTATYAAATTAACTTAAAGGTATCATTTGAAGAACTAATTGACCCGCTGTAGGTTCATGTTTATTTCGTGTTTTTATGACGAAAAAATAATATTTAAAAACATGTCCATACAAATGATAAAAGTATTAGAATTACAACCGCTAAATTTTTTTTATTTTTACATCACCATATTTTTATTTAAAACATATTCTTTTCTCTCGCTTCGTCCACCATTACTAGCATAAAAAAATCTCCAGTCGGGCCGCAATGCATTATGGGATATGCTGGGCCGGGAYGGATCCATCAGACCTGTCCTTCGATTCGGGCCAAAGGAAGGACGTATTTGTCGGCCGCATCGGAGGAGTCTTCGGTTTTGGACGTCCTTCGTCGCGGCGCTGTGACGTATGCGGCCGACGAATTCGGCCTTCGGAGGACACGGCCTGCCGTTTTGGACACAGCTATAGAGTCTTCAACGCCCGTGTTCGCCCCCTACTGGTCTACGGCTGAATCACGGGCATTCATACTCAATTCTTCCCTGATGTTTCCATAACGGATAAATATGTGTTGTTATAGATATTTCGGACATGTAACTAATCTATATCAATCAACACATTATAGATTAACCATTATAAAAAGGAAAACCTAAAAATAGTGTTGTGCTTTTAACATCAGTACTAATCTGTAAAAACTATAAATTTCTTCAAGATGGAGCACAATGAAATTACATTTAAGAAGTTTAGGCTGTATAGGCGAATGCTAAGGGCGCCATCCGTAGGGGGCGCCACAAATGGGGYGATGAAAAGAACWGCTCGTTAACATCAAACAGGTGTTCATCATTYCTGTCAATAGATGTAGGCAGGCATGAGGTAGACTTCTGGTATTCTGTTTCTAATTAATTATAGTAACTATTGTAATCGGACAACCTGGTTCTGGTTTCTAAAGATAAAAAGTATTGATGAAACTATTTAATTTACTATGCGAATGTATGTAAACTGGCAGTGAGATTTAGAAAATTGTGCAAMGGGCGCCGCCTGAAATCTTGCCTGGGGTGCCAAATTATCTAGGGCCGGCCCTGAGTGCTCTGAACACAAAAGAGTGTCTGGAATGTGATGGGGGAAACATAATATGCTGTTTAAAGACAAAAAGATGCAGGATGTCAGTGCAGTCCTTTAAAGAAAATGAGAATAATAATAATAAAAACAACAGAATATCTGATTGTTTTGCCAAGGAAATGTCCTTCACTGTAGTTGAGAACCCAAAATGCTTGAGGAAGTTATTTTTCCTCCCTGCTTGTATCTGTACCATACGTCCAGTGTGTGTGTGTGTGTGTGTGTGTGTGTGTTGATGCCACATCTCCCCTCTTTCTCCTGCCCCCCTCGATCCAATGCTACAATCACACACTGACACTGTTCTATTAGAATCTGAACTTTTTAAACGATGCCGTGTTTCAGGGACAGGGCCAATCAGATTGGAGAGTGCGTCTGTGCGTGTCGGCGTTAAAATTGTAAAAAAAAATTTTTTTTTACAGTGATCTCACATGTCGGAGCCATCTACAAGTGCCTGAACGCATCCTCTTTATCTCCTTGTGTATTTATAAATTTGAAGAGAAATTAAGAGAAATCTCTTGGAACTGAATTAGACCCGGTTTTTTTGTTTGTTTTTTACACTTAACTATTTTTACCTCTGTAAAAACAAAAGAAAATTATATTATATATATCAAGTGTATGTTGTACATTTTTATTTTTTTTAATGGTTTCCAACGTGTATGATGGATGTAGCTCTTGCTCTCGGGAAGGAAAGGAAGTACTTTGTCGATACTGAGGAGTGGCCAGGTCTGTGTGAGGAAGCTGAAGTGAAATGTGTGTCTTACCTTCCGCCTCTAATAAAAAAATGAGAGAACACACAAAATTTTACATGAGACTTGCTGATTGATTTTAAGTTTCACCAGGATGGTTTCCTCCCCTCAAGTCTGCAGTAAGTTAAAATTTAAAAATTTCTTTTGAATGCATGTTTATAGTGTGGCTTTAAACCAGGGCTGTCCAAACCAAGAGCCGATTTCTCTCCGTATTTGAGGAAAAGTTATATAACAAATTATTCTAARAGAATTATTCTTATAGAAATACATATTTCCAAAGTATGCTTTTGTGTGACACTCAGAACATACATTACTTAACAAATAAGGAAAAGATTACATTTAGAAAGACTCAATTCATTAATATTAATAATAATAATAATAAACATTCAATTTATAGGGCACTTTACATTCAAAAATTTCAAAGTGCTACATCAAAAAATAAAATAAAAAATCAAACGTGGCCATAAAAACTGCAAAGCGGGTGGAGTTTTAGTCCTTTTTCCAAGGATTCTGCAGTCTGTGGTTCCCTTGATCTGGGAGTGAATTCCACAGACGAGGAGCAAATGTGCAAAAGGCTCGGTCCCCCATGGCGCTGAGCTTTGTTCTGGGGATTTGGAGAATCGCTACAATGCCTSATGCCTTCTTCTTTATCAACAGCTTATTTCTTAAAGATAAATGTTACCACAATCCAGCAAATCAGATAAAAATAAAAACATCAAACTCTCCCTAAAAATCCAATTATTTGACTTTAAAATATGAAGCGAACACTTTAAAAGATTGAGTCTTTATTGCTCTTTCCACATCAAAATCAAAAATTGATCTAAAAAACAAACTTAATTTTCTTGGCTTGAGAGTTGTCCAGCTGTCATAAGGAGGAGAATGTACCAAATACAGTGACATAAAGAGAAACCATCAAAACTATTTTACATTTGGGGCCTGATAAAATGTTAACAAGGGCACAGATTTGGCTCGTGGGCCTTCAGTTTCATGTAGAATTTTAAGTGTTGAAAACCAGAAGAATTTACTTTTAAAAAGTTGATCCAAAATTATAAAATAAAATAATGTTTGCATTCATTTTAAAAACACGTCTTGTAGGACGTGGTAAATATGAGTAAAGGTTAATAAAACCAGACTAGACTTTGATTTTGTAGTAGAAATAAGTTTTTTTACTCTTATTATTATTATTATTTAAAAGCAGATTAAGTAAAAAACAATAACTATTTTAATATCTTAGTTTCTGAGTAAGTGTTATAAAAAGTGGTTATTTCATAATGTGAATAAAAGAAATTTGAAGTGGACTTTGATTCTGTAGTTTAAGTTTTTTTTTCTTTTCATTGAGGATTTTCAATTATTGACAAAGCTCACTGGATGTGAAGCGAAACATCTTCAACCACAAAATCAAAGTCCAGCTGGATACACCAACATATTTTATAGTTTGGTTTATGTTCTGAACTAAAAGCAGGACTTAAAACTTTACAGGAACATTAACTTTACATTATTATTTAGCTGATTTTCATATTTTCTGTCTAAAATGAAGTTTAAAAACATTTCTTTACTTTTTTGTTGACTGCGCCTCAACGATGGGCTTTCAGAATAATTTCTTTTTTAAATCAAAAATTCAAACCCATTTTTTTGTTTGCTTGTTTCATTTATCTACAAGACATTTTACATCAGTTCTCTCAACTTCCTTCCTCACCTTTAGCAAACAGCATCAAGGTTTCATGTGTGTTGAAGATTTTTCACCCGTTACCTTGACCGTCAGAGGTTGTACTCAAAGTATTTTTATGTTTTCAACCACATCTTAGAGAACCTCAGTTTGGACTTTAGGTTTGTGGAGTTAAGCAAAGCTAATCTAATGTGGTTGTTGAGGTGGAGGAGACAATGATTTCATGACAAAAGGTTCCACAGTTTTAAAAAAACAA